TCACGCCAATTCAAAAAGCTTATATGCACTTTAAGTGTTTTCATGCAAATCTTCAGTCTGCCCGCAATTCCAGATTTTTCCAGTAGTCTCTGCGACTAGAGGGCGTGTTTTAGTGTCACGCAACACTGACGTTGAACGCTGCAACAAGGTTATGCTAGTTTGTTATGTGCTCGTTAAAGCCCATTTCCAAAGCCAAGTAAAGATTTTAAGAGATTCACGCCAATTCAAAAAGCTTTGTTAGCAAAAAGCTTATATGCACTTTAAGTGTTTTCATGCACAAATGTAACAAATACTCAAAATGAAGCCAAGCTACCAACTGCTCTAAAAAAAAGTTCAACTGAAAGCTATTGTTCAGAGAACGTATTTATACTACATGCTTAAGCAACGTTTAAGAAATATGAATAAATAATAATAATAATATAATTTCATATAATAAATTTTTATTAGGGAAAAACACACCCAAAAGAAGACTACACTCTTATACACTGAAGAACTATTTTGCCAGTTGCCTTTGCATGTGTACATCTTACTTTTATCAGGACAGCACTGTTTTGCCTGTATAGTGGTGCAGTGCAGTGATGATATCAGATGGCAATACATTGGTACTATATATCATCATCTACAGCCGTCATACGGTATGTACCATAGATTACATTAATTAAGGTCCATAAAGGAATCAATGCGCGAGTGTGGTTGTCTGATTCAAAGAAGCGACTCAAAAGAGTAACTTAAGTGATTCATTTGACCGAGCATTGCTCTGTAAAACATAAGAAAATAGCTTCGCTAGGCCTACGTGAGCACCTACATAGAAGCGCTACATAAAGTGTAAACATAATGCTTCCAACTGCAAATGTTGAATATGCGCATGCATACACACAATAAATGTATTAATCTCTAAATATAGTTGTTGGAAAGGGTTACAAATGTCTTGGTTAAATAGTGTGTTGCATCAGATTAAGCACTGCTGCTGTTCCGTCACATTCCTGCGGCACTGATCAACAGTTCCGCGCCATAACAGGCGTTTTCTTTCGCTTTCAGCAACAAAACGCCTGGCCGACCGTCTGTTACGTGTTATTATCTGGATATTGTCGTGTTCTTTCGGAATGTACCAGAACTGGAATGAAGCAGAAACTGCACGTCAGTGGGCGGAGCTTTGACCTCATGCTCCTGGAGTGGTGGATACGTGCAGGACGAGATGAAAGCACACGCGAGAGCACTCGCGGTGTAATCAAGCGTTGGCGCTTTCAAGCTGATTCAATGCGGGTAAATGTTGCATAAGGTTGTCTATCTTGGGATTCGAATTTGCTATTTTATACTGTTATCTAGATTCTAGACTACTGAATCCCAGGGACACTAAAATACTCTGAAACGAAAAGAAATCTTTGAATAAATGCATACAGTTTAATAATATTGTGAGGAAGAAACGAACAAACAAACAAACAAGTGTTATGATAGAAACATCTTTAGATAAGTGTAATATGCAGACATATCTAAGGACAAGTACATACCTAGAGATATATGTAGTATATATCTAGGCTATATCTGTATTTAACTATAAGGAATTGGGATATGCTTTATCTAAAAAAATGTTTCAGTGTGATCCTGTTTAATTTTAAGTTGTTGTTTTGTTTTGTTTTACCCTGCATTTATGTCACTGTTATGTTCTTGAAACTCCAACTATTCTGACTCTCACAGACATGCAAATATTTTTCCATTTGTTCCACTAGTATTTACATTTTCTGGGTTTATTGTTTGGGGCCTGGAGGATTTCCAGTTTCTAGGAGATTAGGAGAAACTGAAAAAAGCACACTTATGCAATAGAGGCCCAGAACACATTGCTTAATCAGAAAAATATTTTAGGGATGGACAAAATTCTTCATTTAAGAGGAAAGAGGAAGTACATGCTTCCCTCCACAGTTGCTGTTTTTCTACAAAACCTTTCAACTTTATTAGTTTCATAGATTTTTTTTTTTTATAGCCAGACCTTATGTATACCTATTATGTGCAGCCAAGCAGTAATATGTAATCCACAATCTCAGGTTGAGCAGGTAGTGAGGATGTAATCACATTCAGGTGTATTCTGCTGTCAATGCCTGATGTTTCTGATGACAGTCACCTCATAAGCTGTTCATGCTTTCCTGCCACATGGATTTTGATTCCAGGAAAGGTTTAGGCGCTACAGCAGAAGTGTGAATAAATCTTCATTATGTGTGTATGTACTAGCTGACTCCTCGGAAAACCTACACACCCTTGATGTAACAGAAGAGGACTACAGAATTCCCAAAGAGATCAGTCCAAACACACACACACATACACACACACACACACACACACACACACACTCGTCTGTCTTTATCTCCCTCTCCAAACACACACACTCTCACACTCCACTGTCATCGCACACACAAACACCTCTCTTTTTCACTTTCTCCACTTTCCTCACTTTTCCTCCCCAACAAAAACGTCACATATGTTCTTGCATTGCACTGTACATTCAAATGCAGATTAGTTCTCTTATACAGAACAACCAGACATTAGCCTACTTTTCCTAACACCCATAGAACCTCACCAATCAGATCCCACCCTCTTTGGGATGTACATGTGTGTGCTGCTGTTATTGACTCTGTTATGCATTCCTACCCAATGGAGAGTTAGAATACCATTTGGACCCTTTTGCGAAGACCCCACTCTGTCAACCTAGAGTACCCTCTGCTCCTCCTCTATCACGTGGCTTGTTTTCAACATAACTTGGCATTTCATCATGTGTTTCTTTCCTCCGAGTCTCGCTCTGAACCTTGCGTAATCTTTAGGGCTGTTTTCATGGCTGAATATATAGGCCAAAACACACTGAGAGGCCAACGGGAGGGGGAAGTCACAAGATGTCCCTTGGACCCAAATGGCTCTAAGTTGCATTGAATTGTTTGATCACCTGAGAAAATAAAGCCACTGAAGAACATTATATATTACTATTGACACAACTTGTGAGTTAAGGATAAGAAAGTTTCACTGTTTTTGTGACATTGTACATTGTATGGAAGCTAAAATGACTCGGGTATCAAAACTGCCATGCCTGGGGCACATAGTTATTTCACTTGGCTCATTCATGGGATCGAAATCATCAAAGCTTTCATTAACACCAGCGTGAGGATACACTCCTGACCGTCTATCTCCGACTCAGCATGTCTGTAAAACGTGCCTGTGTCACGATCGTGTGTGTGTGTGTGTGTGTGTGTGTGCCAGTGAATTCCAACATTCCCATCCATCCAATTAAGGGAAAGGAATGATGAAGTTACAGTTCAGATGAGACAGTTGTGTTTTAACAAATGTTGCTCATGCATTGTTCCTAAATAATCTACAAGAAAATATTGCTCTTCATGAAAGGGTTTCCCAAACTGTTGGTGAAAAGCTAATAATTAATTAAATCATGAAATGTAATATATTATTATTATTATTATTATGTATTATAGTTATTGAAATATTTACTTTAAATCTCAGGGGGTACTTTAAGGAAATATTTTAGGTCCAAAAAAAAAAAACAGATGTAGCCTAGATCCCAACTCCATACATTATGAAACTGTAAATTTGCATGTGTAATTGTAATATGAATAAGAAACACATTGTCTTAAAATGTCTTCAATTCAATGTGTTACTGTCGTTTCTTTGTAATTATTTGTGAAATGTAAATTGTTTAGTTGAAAATCCTACACCATTTATATATATATATATATAATCTCTAGTCACTCATTTTGTAATGAACATTTCAAGTCATCATTAGCTATATTTCCTTAATAGAAGTCCAGTTCTTACCAGCTGTTTAAAAACTCACGCTTAGTCATTTGGGGATTTTTAACAGTTAATTTGTCTGTTGCAGAATATTGCATCAGGCAAAATGAATGCTAGTTCGACTAGTGTATACACACGACGTACGACTTGGATTATGAACATTTGAGTCTTCATAATTCTTTTGAGTGGATTCATATTACGGTACCAGTACCAGTTTAAAAGGCTTTTACATTTTTAGTGATAAAGAACGAACAGACTAAAGCCCATTAGCACAACATTCGTCAGCAGCCCACGTGACTCTCGTGCTCTCTCTCTCAGTTGATGCGGAGTGTATGGGAAGCCAAACAACTCAAATGTGGGACGAAACGGCGCGGTATTCAAGTGTTCGCGCCGCGCTGACCTGTCATAGGCGCGGCTCAATGGACAGCGCAGAGAGGACGTGTTTACTAGCGCCACCTAACTGACAGCGCGGCGCTGATCAGTTAAAACAGCGCAGCGCGAACATTACTCTTCTTCTTCTTCTTCATGTTTTATGGCGGGTGGCATCCAACGTTAAGGTGCATTACCGCCACCTACTATGCGAACATTACTCTCCGCAGAAGTTCGTGTTTTTTTCCTGCACATAACATAATGAAAATCAGTATTAAGTTATTACATTTCTTTTGCTTACCTTTCTACTACATGTAAACAGTTGTACTTTGAAAAACTGCAAATATAAAATATATAAGACTTTAATAAATTTACAATACCATAGTCCTCTTGAGGAGCACATAAGCAAAAGAAATGTAATAACTTAATACTGATTTTCATTATGTTATGTGCAGGGAAAAAACACGAACTTCTGCGGAGAGTAATGTTCGCATAGTAGGTGGCGGTAATGCACCTTAACGTTGGATGCCACCCGCCATAAAACATGAAGAAGAAGAAGAGTAATGTTCGCGCTGCGCTGTTGTAACTGATCAGCGCCGCGCTGTCAGTTCGGTGGCGCTAGTAAACACGTCCTCTCTGCGCTGTCGAGTCGGTCGCGCCGCTCGGTCCATTGAGCCGCGCCTATGACAGGTCAGCGCGGCGCGAACACTTGAATACCGCGCCGTTTCGTCCCACATTTGAGTTGTTTGGCTTCCCATAGGAGTGTGTGTGGTGCGTGTTTACAGAGACGAGGGGGCTGGTCTAACTGAAGGAGGTGGGTAGGGAGGGGCGTGAGATTATAAAACCGAGGATCGCCGTGTGTCTTTTTTTGTACCTTCCACATAGTCCCTACCGCCCACGGCCACCATCTGCTGCTCCCGAAGCAGAGGCTCATACAACGGCGTCAAGCCTGGAGCTTTAAAGACAACAACGGGGGTAAGGACGAGCTTTACATTCAGCTGATAGATCGGGATTGACAGACGAGTAAACTGAACGTGGCTTTGATTTTAAAGGATGCGGCGCAACGGTTGGATTTGGGTCATTGTTGGCAGATCTTTGGAAATGTCTCGAAATTACTTTTTTCATATAGTGCTGTCATTTGTCTTTGGGAGGTTTTCGTTACTTCACACTGATTTAAGGTGCTGGTGGACCCATTGCAGTCACTGCGTTGTATATTGTTTTTGAATCATTCATTGTATTCATTCAGTGTGGTGATTCGTTGAACATCACGAGTGCATGTGATTAACGTTAGTCTCACAAAGAAAATAATGTACTATGTCGTTGAGTGAATAACGGACGGAAATAGCGAGCATTTTCTACCGGAGTTATTCTTGGCACAAGTCTCAGGGGCATGTAAATGCAAGTCCCTGCTTGTGACGTGACTTGCTCTTACTGCGCCTGTAGTATATTATCTGTTTGAGGTGACGGTTTAAAGGACCAGTTCACTCAGAAATAAGAATTCTGTCATTTTATCTCAAACTCACATCGTTACAAACCCACATCACTTTAATTTTTACGGACACACAATGGGGACATTTTGCAAAAAAAGTCTTTGTATTCTTTGACAATGAATGGTGACTGAAAATGTCAAGGCTCTAATTAAACAACTCAAATCAGCATAAAAGTAGTCAACACGACTCGTCTTTTTATTTCAGGTTTTCTGGAGCCACTATATAAGATATAAAGGGCAGACGAATGGTTTATTTGAATCGATTCTGTTGATTCAGTTTATAACACCAGTCTGGGTTGCGCTGAATGATTCGTTCATAAATCGGACTGATCCAGTTTTCGAGTTCAACTCGCTGACTTAGCGATTCGGTTGTAGATGTTATTCACTGATGATCTTCACCTCCAGTGAGCTAACAACTTATTATTGGTCTATCCTCACACAAACTATAAAGTACATTTGTAATATAGCGCATGAGTCGTTTGGACTACTTTTATGGTGATTCTGCATCCTTTTTTACAGCTTTATAATTATAATTCATAATGGCAAGGGTAATAATAAACAAATTATTCCTTTATATACCTTTGGTTATTAGAAACTAGTTGTCAGAATTAAGTGCTATAGTGCTTAGTTTGTAATTAAATACATGGCCAGATTTACAATGAAGCTATTATTTCCCCCTCAGGTATCCCATTTAAAGCACCACGGTTCCGAAGACATTGGATTAGCTGAGTGAAATTTATCACTAAAGCTAAGACCACCGTTGTTGACGCCATCCACCAGTCCCACAAATCAGAACAAAATGGTGCAGAACAAGATCACAGAAGTTACCGGATTCCATCGCTCTTTTAAGGTGAGAGTGCAATCTCACTCGTCTCCACTGCTGTTGCATGAACAAATTAATTGTTTTGGCATTAGGCAATAGATCACATCACATAATAGGCACAAATGTTTTCATTTATTTATACTTCGCTCAGGCGGATTCCATTGCATAGGGTATCAGAGATCAAACATTAATTAAACATTAAACCGAATGCCAGGAAGCTCTTAGTTGTTCATTAGAAGCCTAGTAATAAGTATCTGCAAGGCATTTAACAAATGTGCAACACTGTTAAACTGTTGAAGTCTTGAATAATATATATTTTTATCTCCAGGGCCAAAATCCCTTTGAATCTGAGGAATTTTCCAAAACAGGATCCCATCTCCTTGAATCTGCCTTCGATTTTGATTGTTCCGCCCGACCTGGTAAGTTGATGTTGTTTTTTATCTAACTGTTATGGAAAAACCAATAGGAAGACCTGTTGACAGAAAGCACTGCCTGTGATTCGTGACCAGCTGCGCTTATGCTAACGATTAACTACGTATATGCTAACGGCGATGTTTATTTCAATCCGAAATTCAAATTAAAATATGGAATAATATTCATTACAGAAGCTCTAAATATTAAAAATGTAATTGAAACTTACCTGCTTGAACTTGATCGGGGTGTTTTGTTAGTTTGATGCGTTTCTTCCTCTTGAGGTCGCCACTGCTTTTAAGAAGAGGTTGCCCGGTTTTCACAACAAAACCCGCCCAATCGCGTTTCGAGGGGGTCCCCCGTTAAAAATCGCGTTCCGAGGATAAAATACGCGTGTTTTGGCGGGGTTCATGGTTCATGTTAATGGGGTCGTTTTTCAACCCGCGGACATGAAAAACAACCCGTGGCAACAGTGTTAAAGCAGCCCAATTCCGCGGGAAAACCGTGGACTTGGCAACACTGGAAGAGGATAGCTTTCGGATAGCGCATCAAGAACCGGGTTGACCGGGTACTTGGTACCACCGGTACTTAAGAAAACCTGGTACCGTAACGTTTTCATTTTTTTAGTACCGACTTGGTACCGAAATACCGGGTCTTTTGACAACACTACCTTACACCAATGTTAACATACTTTATCTTTACAGATTAGGGATGAATACCATCTGCTTATTTTTTCCTAGTATAATCAAGCTGCTTTCGGTGCATGTTTATATGACAGCGTATCAGGTTTTTACATTTGAATTTTCTTTCTGTTATGATGTGCAGACATGCCATCCAGCCAGCCCATCGACATCCCAGATGCCAAAAAGAGAAACAAGAAGAAAAAGAGATGCCGGGCAACAGACAGCTTCTCAGGGCGATTTGAGGGTAAGTGCATATCAGATGGGGTTTTCTATTTTTCCAAGGTGTTAAAGTTTCTCCAGGGGAATTATTCAAGTATACTTTTACAGTTTGACAGGTCCAAATGGGTTCAGTAGTGTAATAATAACACTTTTGTTTTCATTTCAGATGTATATAAACTGCAAGACGAGGTGCTGGGAGAAGGGGCCTATGCCAGAGTCCAGACCTGCATCAACCAAATCACCCACAAAGAATATGCTGTGAAGGTAAGATGCTTTATGGGTTACGTGTGTTAAAGAAGACATATTATGCCCCTTTTTACAAAATGTAATATAAGTCTCTGGTGTCCCCCGAATGTGTCTGTGAAGTTTCAGCTCAAAATACTCCACAGATAATTTATTATAACATTTTGAAAATGCCTATTTTGAGTGGAAGCAGAAACACACTGTTTTTCGTGCCTGTCTCTTTAAATGTAAATGAGCTGCTGCTCCCCGCCCCCTTTTCCAGAATAGAGCTGCACCATTACAGCTCGGACCTGCTAAGAAACATCTGTTTTGGTTCTGATTATAATGTTTATCGTGCTGAAATCATGTGTTTTAAACCATACGAGTTTAAACTTCTGATATACGGTTTTCTGATAAACAGCTGGGAAATAAATCGCTTGTTTATTTTAGATCTGTGTGGCAGCAGCAATATACAGTAAATAAATCAATAAATCCACTGCTCTGTTGTCTCCTCTGAGGCTGGGACTCTAAACAGTGTTCTGTGCTCGTCTCTGCAGCCAAACACAGAACAGTTAGCATGCTTCGCTCAAACTTTCATCATGGCATTAGAGCTAGCGCACCGCTGTCGCTTGCAAATCAAAATGATGGTGTCATGGGCGTAAACTTGCAGATTAAGGGGCGGTAATATTATAATGAGATCCCTTTGCCACGTCACCAAGGGAGCGAAATCAGACGCGATCGTTTTCTTAGACGCTTGCAGAAAAAGGCTTACCAAAACAAAGTTACTGGGTTAATCTTTTTCACGTTTCCTTCGTTGGTAGATGCACCGGGGACCTGATTATAGCACTTAAAACCTGGAAAATTCAGATTTTCATGATATTTCACCTTTAAATTTTAACTAACCTGAGCTGTGACAATGCAGTGTACCTTAAAATAGCAGTTGCGTTCTGTAAACGGGTATTCCATGTGAAGCATCCGTGCAGAAATGGCATTCAAGAGCTATTGTTAGAAAGGACTTTCCCTTTGAAGCCGTCTCTTGGAAATGGAATCAAATGGGTTACGGGAATGATTTTTCCCTCTTTGGCGAGCAGACGTGACTGTAGTTGTTTTGTGCTGACTGGCACTGTTGCATGTGATTGGAGAGGGCATGCTAGATTTCTGCAAGCAGTGGATGGTGAGGTCACGTTCAGGCCATGCTTATGAATTGCACACTTGGGTTTGAAAATGTTTAGATTACTGAATTCATTTTGTAACATATTTTTTAAAATCTGTGAATAGTATTTACTTTGCAAACTGAAGTATTTGCACCTGTCTGTGTAGTTTATCTAAGCCGCTTTCTCTTAACCAAGTGATGTTGTTGTTCACAGGCACGGATGCTTGAACAAACAGTGCCTCTGTTGTGCTACTGTAGTTTTACAAGTTATAGAGCAGGCTTAACGGAAAAACTTCATTGTTTTTGTTAGACCGGATAGAAGGCCAACCAACCAGAAATGTGGGTTACAGTTACATGCTCTTACCGTTCATCGCTCTCATTGGCTTGTAGGTTGTACTGTGGCGGGAACATAATGTACTGGCAAGTCTGTTGAAACATAAACCTCCTTGTGTAGCCATTTTCTCTTAACCGAGTGATGATGATGTTGTTCACACACACGGATATTTGAACACACAGTCCCTCTGTTGTGCTACTGTAGTTTTACAAGTTACAGAGCAGACTTAGCGGAAAGACTTTATTGTTTTTGTTAGACCGGTTGAAAGGCCAACCAATCAGAGACGGGAAACGGTCTTATGCTCTTACCGTTCATCGCTCTTATTGGCTGGTAGATTGTACCGTGGTGGTAACATAATGTACTGGCAAGTCTGCCAAAAAATAAACCTCAAGAGAAGGGGGGGCTAGGGTGGAGTTAAATCCTTGAAGTGTTTACCTACCTTTTTTTTGTCTCTCTCACACATTGCAGAATCTAGAACAAAAGCATATTAGGAAATGTACATTGTGTGCCAGAAATATGTCTTGTTTTTACTTATTGATTTGAGGAAGTTGTGACGGATGTTTTGTTTTGTGTTCCAACAGTATAATTTAAAAACTTTTTTTTATTTGAAAAAAAAAACCCTGTTTTCTTATTTTTATCAGAATTTAAAATGGTCTTCCTTGTTTTAATTTGCACATAAAAGAGGAACAATATAGCATATTTTATTTCGCCCACCATAACAATATCGTGCATATTCATTACCGTGATATATCGCAATGCCGAATACATGCACAAGTATAATTTCAATATAAGGTCCTCTATAAGCCAGCCAAGCAAATACAATATAATGATTTAGGGATGAGTTTTAATCCCTGAGGGGGATGGATCATTACAAGCATTAGGTCAGTTTATGCTGGGATGGGTTTCAGACAACTCTCACCAGATGTCCTGCCATCCCCCTCCTCATTTTTGCATAGTTTGGGGGGGGGGTCCTGGTCTGCACAAAAGGTAAGGCTGAAAGAAAACAACTCCAGTAGCCATCTCAGCTGGGCCTGGGTGGTGTTTACAAGCGTGGTTTGATTTACAGACAGCGGTCAGATTCTATAGGGCGCCTTTCTAAGCTAACATGGAGATTTATGTGCGCTCTTACTTGCATCGTATAGCATAATGTATTTGCCAACATATTGTGAAAGCTTTTCTGTGCAGCAAATAACATGTTTAGACTTCAACTAGGTGAAATCTGTCCCCACATCCCTTAGGTTCCCTCAAGCATTTATAATACCCTGTAATTTTTTTTGGCGGCTTTTGAGTAGATTGATTGCTGACTCAGCCGTGTGGCAGCAGCGCTGGGGTTTTTGGGAATGCGCTGGCCTGCAGGCCTCATTCTTAACCCTGATACGCATTGTGTGCTCACCTGCACGCTCTCAATAGCACTGCTAATCCAGGGAGCTGGAAGAGCCGAACAGAGTCCGGAAAACACAGAGGCCTTGCATAGGGGGAGGATGTGATTCAGTGTCAACAGTATCTTTTGCTAGTGTATTTGTTCATTGGACTCGGGGATTAAATGAATGGTGTGGGCCCCTTGTTTTCAGTTTTTAAAATCTTTTTAATGTTAGTTTTTTGGAGGGATAGTTCACCCAAGAATAAAAATTGTTTTTCACTCACCCTCATATTGTTCTAAATGTATATGACATTCATTCTTCTGTGAAACACAAAAGTATTTTTTCTCCATACAGTGAAAGTCGGGTCCAAATCAACATTAAGATCCCATTTGTTTCATTCAATTTTAAAATGTGCACATCAACTTATATGCAACACACATATATAACAGTAACATACTTGTATATTCATGCATATACAAAAACAACACTTGATCGTTCACTTTTTTTGGTGAGCTATTATTTTAAAGTGGATTAAACGGCTCTCTTTATTGCCTTTAGAAGTTAATTTGTAATCAGACGGTCACTTAGATTAAGGAACAGTTGTCACCTTAGGATGTTGATTCTCATTTGGCTTTGAGCTTAACCTGCCATTTTTTTTCACCTTGTAGATAATTGAGAAAAGGCCAGGACACAGCAGGAGTCGTGTTTTCAGAGAGGTGGAAATGCTGTACCAGTGTCAGGGCCACAGGTAACCCATACATTTGTGACGATCCTTAAATATATGCAATGAAAACTTGTATGTTATGCATTTTAATAACCTGCAATTGTCGACAGTGTGGTTTTGACTCTCTTTTGTCCACCCAACAGAAATATTCTGGAGCTGGTGGAGTTCTTTGAGGAGGAGGACAAGTTTTACCTTGTGTTTGAGAAGCTGAGAGGAGGTACGTGTGCTTCTGTAGTGTTATGTTACTTTTGAGAAACATTATCCAGTCTCCCCTGGGCCCAAAGACCAGCCATGAGTAATTAAATTGAGACCCTCTCCACTGGAATGTATAGATCGCATGCCCTGGTGTTAATTTGTAACAATGTGTTTTTTTAGGTTCTGTCTTGGCCCACATTCACAAGAGGAGATACTTCAGCGAGCAGGAAGCCAGCATTGTGGTGCAGGACATTGCGAGTGCGCTGGACTTCCTTCACAATAAAGGTATGAGAACACAGACTTGGAGAGGTGCCTTAGGACTGGAAAGGGGAGATAAGAAGATGATGTTACACATGGGGGATGGCTTTCTCTGGAGACAGTTGGGGAAGGGGAGGTTATGGGGGTTGTTGGAAATTGAATCAAGTTGAAACTTGATCATATTTCATCGACTAGCTTGAGGGATGCGCACTGGATTTCTAGGTGAAGTTGTGGGCTTACGTTTTATTCCTGTCAGTACTGTTGGGTGAGGGGATGCTAAGCTAATTTTAGTAGCACTTAGCAACAAGCTGTTTTGGAAACATTCGCCTGTCTTTGCCCCGTCAACAATCCTCACTTAGCCTGAATACCACACAACTAACTCATGACTTATGTGTGTGCTTTTGTAGGAATGGCCCACAGAGACCTGAAGCCTGAAAACATCTTGTGTGAACACGAGGACAGGGTGAGTCTTTTACGACAGCGTGTTTGCCGAGTCAGAGATTCAGAATATACTTTGCATTTGTGGTAAAAGTTTGATCAGATTATTTGATTTATTGTTTCCAGGCAGACTATAAACACTAAATCATGCCTGTCGGTTTTGGATAGTCAAAGGTTTTTGATCAGATTTTCTGTCTGTGTTTCTTGCAGATTTCGCCTGTGAAGATTTGTGATTTTGATCTGGGCAGTGGAATTAAACTCAATAGTGACAGTTCACCCATCTCCACTCCAGAGCTCCTCACTCCAGTGAGTGTCTTTGTGACCCTTTGACCACAGATTCTACCAAGCAATGAATTGCATTTGTCTGAGAAACAAACATGATAAGCTGCTAACGGCCACTTCCCTGTTGTTTTGAAGTCTATGGATAAGATGTGCACATTGTCAATGTCGTTACTTATCAGGAGGACATGCTTTAATGCGATTGGTCGATGTTGAGTAGTGTCAGTACTCAGTAGAGTAGCTCATTCTGATTGGCTAATGTAATCATTCTAAAGAAGTGATGAGGTCAAGGAATGGTTTTATTACCACAGTGGAACTTTTAAAGAGGCCAAACTCTGTTGTGAGATAGTGGAGCAGCAGTATTGAGCCCATTCTCTACATCCGTGTAGTTATCAACTTCACAAACTTGTGGATAACTTTTGGCTTACAATCTTAAAAATGATACCCAGTTCCTGTATCTTTCAAAATATTTGAAATGGGGTTTATTATTTTAAGCTCTTGAGTTTATCTCTGCTGTGTTTGTGCGTGTGTGCGTGCGTGTGGGTGTGGGTGTGTGTGTGTGTGTGTAAACAAAGATCTGTCTTCAGCTTCATGGCTTTGAATGATTGGGGCAAGACTGGTGAGAACAGGTGATATGGTGGGGGTGGACAGTGAGAAATCCTCCACATGGGGCTTTCAGGGTCAACCTGAATTGGATCCAACAGCTTGTTGAAAAGACTATTTGTGGACTGAATGGTTAAAGGGTGAAAGGTTCTAGTGTATCTAGTCAGTAAACAATGTGGGGTTTGTCTTTATGCCCTGTGCTTGCTGATGGGCCAGTTATCTCATGTGATTCTGCAGTAGGGGATAGGGTTTGATTTAATGCATTGCATGTATTTAAAGGGATAGAAAATTCTGTCATTTTCTCAAGCCCATGTCATTTCAAACCTGTAGAACTTTCTTCTGCAAAACACAAAAGATGTTATTTTGAACAAAATCTGCCTGTGTTCATTTTGTCCATATAATGTAAGTGGGATCCAGTGTTGTTTTTAAAAGTTAAAACGGTTAAAACCGTTAAATCATTCTTTAAAATATATCTTCAAAATACTACTTTTGTGTAGGTGAAAAGAAATCATACAGGTTTTGAACAACATGAAGTTTTAATTTTTTGGGTGAAACTTTTACAATTCAGTCTTAGTTGTGCAGTGAGAAAGACCTTGAAGTAGGAAGCTCAGTTCTTGGCTGCTTTCATTTTTTCCAAGAAGCATGCCCTTATTCAGAGTTACAGAAACACAACTCCCTTCATCAGGAAAGGACAGAATATTGATCAGAAAGTTCTTTGTGATTTTTTTTTTAAATTTATTTTTTTATTTTTTTACTTTGAGCCAGTGTTTATATAGTTCCAAATTCTCAATTCCCCCCTTGCTACTTTTGGACAGCATGAGGACAAGACTTCAACCCAAACAAACGTTTCGGGTCTTTGTGCTCCAATTTCCTGTCGTACCTTCTCCCTTAAGCACAGTTTAGACTCAATTTCTCATTTGTTTTTATCTCTGTGGATTTCCTCAAGCCTGTCTGGGCATTAGTCTTTCAGTCAGTGTTACCACCCCACACCTAGCAACTGTTCTGTGATTGGTTTGGTGAGAGGGAGGATGAAAGGGGGAGGAGCATCTAGTGCACTCTCTGGTCATGCACTCAACATGTTTTTCTTGGGCAGGATCCCAGGGATCTTATCAGGGTTTTTTTTTTCACCGCTAGCTTGATGTTAACTCTTTGTTTATCACTTGATTGCTTTGCTTCTTATAAGATTTTCCCTTTTTAAAATTATTTTCTTTTTATAGTTACAGCAGGCTTTTTGTGTGCATGTGTAGTGTGATCCTATCATAAATGCTTCAAAAAAAGTCGCAATTTCTGAGAAGTGCATGTACTTTACTTCCTGAACTCTCCCTCTTCCTTTCTCTTGACGATCTTGCACTGCATGTACTTTTATACTGTGTGTTAGCCTATAACCGCAGTGGAAATTCATACATGTATAGGTGACTCGTTTGCTCAGCTGATGCATGCCTTACTGCCAACCACAAAAACACATGAACCGACCGCGCAACTGCTCAAGCCAGTTTGTCCTTCCTTGGAAAGCCCCATATGTAATCTGCATGTGTTAGATGCTAGAAGCTGCAAGTGACTGATGCAATGCTGTGCTAGTCTTACAGCTGAAGTTTGTCTTGAAAGTGAAAATCGGCTGCACAGTTATCATTCGAGACCCTCTCCCTCTTACCTCAAAGACACCGAGATAGGCTCACAAGCGAGCCAGAGGAATATACTTGGGTTTTATGAAACACGTGGAAACTGCTGCAGAACATGAGCCCTCATTTGCTAATTACAGGTCGCTCTGTTTCCCTGGTTTCTAGAAATTGGATACAGTTGGGTACACAACTGACTAGTTACATACTGTAGCAATGTATATGTAGATCTGGATTGGTTGTTCTTTCTGAAAGTCTTTTGTTCAGGAGTGGGGGTGGTTGTGAAGTGTTCTCTTGAATGTGAGGGTGTTGAGAGGCGGTGAGCCAAAACAGCCGTGTCGATGGGGGTTGGGTGCAACAGTGGAAGCTTTTGTCTGCACTCGGATTCCTGCACTGCGAAATAGCATTACATAAGTGCAAGAAGGCGGAGCAACAACGGCAGCTGGGTTGATGATAACAAAAGAGACTAGCAGAGCAGACCGACCGCTTCCTTTAACCTCAGACACACAAACCAAAACATGACCATGTTGCACTTGAACACCTGTGAAAATATACAGAGGGGGGTTGGATTTGCAGCATTATTGGTTTATGCCAACTTTTCAACTTCAACCTCGTGTGATAACGTATTTACGAGTGTATTTTATTGTAAGTTGTTGTATGGGCAAATTATTATACTTTTACGTCATGTAGGGTTCAGATATTGGCCTTGATGCATCAGAACTGAAGTATACAAATTCAGGGAAGTTCTGGCATTTGTGATCTCTTGGAAAAAAACGCTAAAGCAAGTTATTTTGTAACACTGACCTCAGTCTGAGTCGCATAATTATAGGGGCTTAATGCAGCAAGATGGCCCAGCCTGTTGAGGGAAAACTAAAAGGAACCCAGTTCTGCAGATCCTTCCAGAAGGGTTTTTTGTCCTGCTGAACTACTGAACTGTTACTTCAGAGAGGTTTTATCCTTTTACATCAAAGATGTGTGGGTCCGTGTGGTGATGTTGTTGCAAACTGAGTGTGTGTCGCTGTTATGTAATAAAGCATGGTATGTGGGTTTTCGGGGACGCACAATCCTTTATTTTTTTTCTTTTTTTTTTCTGTCCCAATGCACGACCTAGTTTTAGGCAGAGTTGGTCGGAGCCCGAACTAACAAAGCAGTCTGCACTTGTAGCTGAGCCCTCAAAACACTCCATGACTCACTTCCCCGCCTCCATCTGTGACATAACAGTCGTTACCCTGGTTACTTCAATTAAGGATCTGTATGCCACCGTCGCATTTTCTATCTGGACTGCGGCAGAAATGCGTTTCATAAGCAAGAACCAGGGATGAATACTTTAGCATTCAACTAGAAAATCTGTCGTCAACCCCCCTTCCCCCCCTCCACTCCAACTTGGCGCGATCTGCTGTTTACCATGTGATTCTCACGCTTTCGGTTTCAGACGTGCTTAGGGGTCTCACAGAACACATGACATTTGTCAGCTGAATGTGAACAAGGACGTCTACAGTGAGGGGGGAAAAATTTAGAAATTGAAATGCAGCTGTACATAACCAACACATTCACATTTTTTTTTCTTAGTTCTGTGTATGCTTGCCACATTGCATAGCCGATGTGACTGCCATTTCAGTATTTTTGCCTTTAGACTGAAACGACCCATGTGCTAATGATTACTTTCTTCTCACCCCTTCTTGCTCTCCCCTTAGTGTGGATCTGCTGAATACATGGCGCCGGAAGTTGTGGAAGCCTTCAATGAGGAGGCGACCATCTACGATAAGCGCTGTGACCTGTGGAGCCTGGGTGTCATCCTCTACATCATGCTGAGCGGTTACCCTCCCTTCGTGGGCCGCTGTGGAAGCGACTGTGGATGGGAGAATGGAGAACCTTGTCAAGCGTGTCAGGTACATCACACACCCTAGTCTATTCAACCACTGTGCACTGTTGTAAACCTACGTAACCCTGATGAAGGCTATTATGACTTGCATTACTTTAGCAGAGATCTTGTATAAGTGGAGCGAAGCTCTGATAATAGTGCCTCACCTAATTTAATTTATCGCTGTCCTTCCCCCACAGCCTTTTAATTGCAACAAGAAAATCCCCTGACTGACCATTAGGAATAACATTTTTTTTCTGTTATTCAAGCACTTCCAGAGTGTGTCCTTCTAGCTAGACTATCCCAGCAGTCTGCTTTCAAGACATGGGTTCCCCTAGTTGAGGAACCGGTAAATGCATTTGATTTAGGGTGTATGTGAGGTTTTCGCCTTGCAAGACTCGAATTGGAGTTGCAGCATCAGATGCATCCTAACCGATGTCTGGGAAACTCTAACGTTTCCTGTAAATTTCACTAAAATCTTATCAATAACCGATAAGAATGACTATAAACATTTCCGAGCACAACTGGAATTGAGTGCATGCTGGGAAGCAACCAGGTGGTTGCACAAGCACACGTTTGCCAGTGTGACTACATGAATGACGATGGTCGGTATCAGAGAGTTGAGGCTTTGAGCTTGTACCCCACTTTAAGGGGGCCATTATGGTACAGAAATATCAATCTGTCAGATTGTGGATGCCACCAAAAAGCAAACTATATAAATATTAAGAGGGGAGGGAGAGATTATTTTCAAGTAACATAAAACTGGAAAAAAAAAGGAAGAAAAAAAAGGATTCCAGAAAAAAAATATTTAAAAACAAAAACTAAACAAAAAAAAGTCTTCCAAGAAAATGTAGCTGTATGAGTGAAATGGTCTAAGAAAGTTTACTTGTTTTTTTTATTATACGTTAATGGTTGACTCCAGTGCAGAGTGTGCCACACTGATGTTTCAAACGTTGTTGAGCTTTGTTTAACTTTTTATTGAAAGAATATAATTTTTATGCAGGTGCTGTTCAAGTGGAACGTTTTCCTTTTTTATAGTTTTGTTACTTTATTAATGTTGATTTATATGCCGTAAAGAGTGAGAAGAGTGTATGCGAATGTGACTGGAGTTAGGGGGAAAAAGGAAGGAAAAAAGAAAGGGCGTCATATAGTCTGTTCAGATCTGATGTTTTACTGTTTTTGTTCTTGCTTTGGAAATGACTTCAGGGTTGTTTAAACTCCCCTTTTCTCTCAGAAATGATTGGTGGCTTGATCGTTTTAGTAAGACGCATCAATTTTAGCCAAAGTGCGCTTGTTTCTAAAATCGAATGCACTGAGGTATCTGGTAGTGCTGATCTTGAATCGGCTTTAGCCTTTCCTTTGCCAATTCATAAGACACAGCATACCTGGTAGAGCTGAGCACAGACCATCATTCACTCTCCGAGGTGCATAAAGCATTTGAGTCCAGACGTCTGGATTCAGTTTAAGTCTTTATAAATTCTGCAAGCATTAGTGTCACCAATGGGAGTTCAAATCACCCAAGCATACATTGAATGTTTTCAGAGTGTCGCCCGTTCTGTCGTGTTGCTCTGAGATGCTTTGAGAACCCTAATGGCAGTCCTTGATTTTGAAGGGCCCATTGTGCTGATTATTATGACACTGATTGTAACCTTTATTGTTTTTTTTGTCTTTCTTTCTTTAAGAATCTTTTTACAGATGCATCTTTGTGGGTTTTTTATGTCTTATAGTAAGACTTGAATTGTATGTGCAGAAGTTTCCTCATGTTTTGTTCAGGAAACTTCTTTTGCTACAATGTACAAATGGCAAACAAAAATGTTCATAAGCTGAGATTCAAAGCAATCTTTGGTTTGGAAAGTACCATTTCCACCACTTCTGTTCAGTATTTTATCTTTCTCCTTGGCTTTGGTATATTGCAGAAATCCCAAGTGTTTGGGTTTGTATTTTCTGAGGAGTCTGTGGCGCTTGGCTGGTCCTCTAAAGTCCCTGTGCCTCTGACAAAAGATTCACCACTCTTTTACCCATATTATAGTTATGGGTTGCCTTCTATTAACAGATCTGACTTGGATTCTCAAAAATATT